TAACTGAAGGTCATTTGGGAAAGGCAAGCAGGCCTTGTCCTGGAGTCAATAGGGAATAAATAGCAGTGGGGCCTTTCTCTCTGCAGCTGCAACACACATATGCCCCACTCCACAGCAGCACTTCGAGGTTCTGGGGTTCCAGGGTCCCAGACCTGGGGCAGGGGCACAGGCAGGGGCAAAACAGGGGGTGGTGGTGGTGGGAAGAATCTAGGATGCAGGGGCCTCGCCCAGCCTGATGGCCCCAAAGAAGGTGGTGTGCTTGCTCATGTTGATAGAGATGTCAGCATGCACCATCTTCACAGCGATCTTCTGCCGGGCTTTGAGGAGGCAGACCCCCGCGGTGTAGCAAGTGTTGTAGTTGGTCTTGCCTGTCTCAATGCTGCGGGTACACTGCAGAAAGGGCTTCTCGTCCACCACCACCTCATAGCTGGCAAAGTCAGTGAAGTTGATGTAGTATACCTGAATGAGAGGCAACAAGAAGGGATTGGGGGAGAGAGGAAAGAGGGTGGGGGGTGGGGCCCTCCCCTGTCATGATGAGCTGCCAGTACACCTTGTGAAGGGGCAGTGCCACTTGAAGGCATGCTAGTTAGCTGACAGAAAAGGTGGGATGATGGGCTTATACTCTGTCCTTCCCCCACTCCATCGGGCTCAGGTGGCTAAGCAAATCTTTCTTTCAACAGTACACCAGTTGTAAACTCTGAGGGCAAGAACCCTGCCTTATTTACCACTTTACCTCCCCCAACCCCCAGCCCCCTCCTTTGCCCTGGCTATGGACACGTGAATACAAACTAACTTCTAATTGCAAGCTCCAAAGACTATTTGCAGATAAAGTTAGAAGTCACTGATTTTCCAGAGAGAGAACAGTGACAACTTGCCATTTCTTCAGCTCTTTTGCAGACTGCTCCTGCCCCTGTTGTATTTCTCTCAATGATTCTCACAGTGTTCCTTAGCCCTCTCATCTGACAATTGAGGAAACTGATCCAGAGAGAGGGAGAGCCCTCCACCACAAATGAGATCAAGAATTTGGAAGGGCAAAACCCAGGCCCCTAACTTTACTTTGTGGCCAGAAGGAAGTGTGAACCTATGTTCAGTGGCCTGGTGTCAAGGGGATTTTCCCAGTTTGCATGGTGTCCAAAGCCAGAGGCCACTCCCAATTCTCTCCTAGGCCCTAAAAATTAATTTGTTTATCCTTCACTACCAAGCTTTGATCCCCCACTAAATGGAGCTTAGGACAAATGCCCCATAGGACACTGGGATTACATTCATGTGCCCCCTGGGGATCAGGACCCTCGTCTGTCCCCCTAAGTCACTTTATCAAAGGTTGCTCCCTCCATAGGCTCTATAGGAGGGAGCAGTGCACTCAGGTGCCACATAATTCCTTGGTTCAGCACCCAATTTGTGCCAGAATGCTGGGTGGAGTTAGCAAATGCTTATTAACCCACCTTCTCTGGCCACTCCCCTGTGAGGCCCTTCTGCTGGCTCCATAGTCCTTCTGTAATCTGCCTGCTTGCTCCCCATCCTACAGAAGCCCCAACCTCAAGTCTCATCTACCTCTATCTCTGAGGAGCCACCCAGTGGAGGCAACCAACTGGGGTGGAACCAGATAGGCAGTAGCAGACCTGGTGAGTGGGCCCGGGCAGGACAAGGACAAAAACAGAGGGAGAAAAGTGCTGGGTGAATGACAGCAGGAAGGAGGCAAGAAGAACAGAGAAACAGAAGGTAGAGAAATAAATGGGAGAAAGAGGAAGGAAAGAGAGTCAGAAACTTTTTTGAGGCCGAGAGCAAGTCCACAGGAGCACCCTTCATTACAAAGCCAGTGATGTGGGGGAAGGGGTTCTCAGCAGCCCTGGAACTGACTTTCAAAGAATGTACTGAGACAGAGTTCAAGTTTGGCAGTAGAACCAAACAGGTTGTAGGGAGGTGGGTAGGTGGGGGAAGAACAAGGGCCTGGGGCCCTGCAGGAGGGAATCCATGCCAGGGTGTGGGAGGGGCCTCTTTTCAGTTTTCGGTGATATCTGGCTAGGAAAAAACCCCAAACAACCCCCTCTCTCTTTCCTCCTTTCAATTCCCTCCCAGTATAGTACCCCTAGCCCCCTCACCCCCCCAAAGCAGGCTGGCCTTGGCTGGCTCCACAGTGCCCCTATGTGGCCTGCACCGGATCTGCATTCTGGATATAAGAAGAGTTAGGCCTAAGACCGTACTCACTTCTACCTGACTATAGATGAAGTAGGTGCCGTCCACCAGTACCTCCAGCTCCCCACTGCGGGGATGTAGCTTAAACACCTTGGGGTTCATAGTGATGCGAGACCAGTCATTGAGTACTCCACCTGAAAGATCTCAGTATGAGAGAAGGGCAGTCACTCAGTACATGTCAGAATAACCTGGGCAATAGAAACAAAAATTATCAAGCAGTACACAACCCCCACCCCTATCCCAATGCAATCTGCATAGCCCAGGAGGCCAAGCTTTAAGAACAGCATTTGCAAGCACATTAAGTTTTCTCTTTGTAAAGTGGCTGCCAGGAGGGCTTCAGGCCACTGGAGTCTGCCTGTCTTCCTCTCTCCCTCCCTGACCCCTCCATCTGGAAGGGTCTTTAACCAACACCTTGTAGTTGGAATTGGGGGTGGGGAGTAAGACCTATTTTCTTTGTTGTTCTGGGGCCTGCACAGGCAAAATTCAGACACTCATTGGCAGGCTAGGTCTTATTATTCCATTTGATTTCACCAGCAGTAACTCCTAAATCTCTCTCCTGTATTAAGGTTCATGGATTTTCTCTTTCTTCATAAGAGAGTCTTCCACATCCACTCCTTTCTAAATAAGCCTCCCTGGGCCTCCAGGAAACCACTTAGCCCAATAATTGTCTACCTGGAGAACCTTAGGGATCAGGGGTGAGTCAGACTTCATGGCAGCCAGAGAGCATGACTGCCAGTAATAAGGCCCCACAGGGGAGAAGGGTATTTATGAGGGAGGGGCAGACTGCCAGGCAGCATTAGAACCAGCCAAGGGAATGGTGAGGGTGTCTGGGAGCTGAGGCACCCCTGGCAAAGCTTCTGTCTCTCAGCCCCACCCCATTTGGGGTGGAGGAGCTGTCATACCACCTTGGCCAGACACTGGGAACCAGCACAGAAGGGCAGAGGAAGAGCTTCCCTTTCCATCCTGCAGAGAGAAGGGGCGCCTTCCCACCACAAGAGAAGGGAGTCCAAGCCTATGGGGTCTTTTCCCCTCAAAATTGTCCCTTCTCCATACAAAAAAATTTTGCTTTGAACATCCATCCTTGGCTAGTCTCAGGAGGCCTGCCTCTCTGAGGTGTGAGGAAACCGGCCTCCTGGAAAAGGTGGCAATCTTCCCTTAAGGTGATGATGGGATAGGAGTTAGGAGGAGATGCCCTGGCTCAGCCCCTTCAAATCCATTCTGCATGATGTCCTCCTACCCCCATCCCCTCACTTCTGCTCCTGGTTGAAATGAAGATCAGCAGAGACTAATACTGGGGACTGACCTAGAGGAGTTGGGACTAGTCTTGAGATGTGGTAGTGGCAGCAAAATCAGTAGCTTCTGGCACAGAATAAACACTGAGGTCACCCATCCAGACATCGAAACGTATCTGTTTCCTATCTGTCTCACTCCTTCCTGGACAGATGGTGGTTATGGCTCACCCAGAGCCCTGGGGCCTAAGGCACCTGGTCCCAGCAGGACCACTTAGGTTCTGGCGCCATTCTGCTCCTACTTATATTTCTGAGGCTATTAAGTCAGGCATCCAGGTGGCAGTCCTGGATGTAGTTAAGCCCAGTCATTAAGAAAGCTCAGCCCAGCCAATTTTGGACAGACGGGGCTCTTCAAAGCTGTCTCCATAGAGCAGGTTTCTTAACCTTCATTTACTGTACCCTCACTTACAGCCCTTCCCTTCCCCTCCAAGTTTTGTATGCATCTGACATCTTGGCTGCCTAGCTGCTTCCCAAGGCTCCTGGGGGAGGGCTCATGCATTTTAGGCTCTGTGTACCTTGGGGACTAGACATTCTTTCAAAGCACTGTTCTTCTTCATGTCTCTTTGGGGAAGAAAATGAATCTAATCATTCAGTGGCATGTACACAAACATCACTGAAGTAGCACAGTGCAGTGGAAAGAGTCAGCCAGATGTAGTTTTGAATCCCAGCTCCTACACTTAACCGAAATCTTGGGCTAGTTAACCTCTGTGAACTTCAGTTTCTGGCTCTGTAAGAAGGAGCTAATACCTACCTCATAGGGTTGTTGTGAGGATCAAATAAAATAAAGGACAAAGAAAGCATGTTGAAAACTGTAAAGCACCATACAAACATAAGGCACTATGATTTATTATGGTATTGTCCAATCTCTCTGGGACTGTTTCCTCATCCTTTAAAAACAGGAATTATATTAAATCAGTGTTTCTTAACCTCCTTACACCTGTTCTCCCTTTTTGTAGACACTAGCACTGTATACTTCCTGGAGAATCTGTGCAGACCAATCAGACAAGAATTTAAACTTATGTAGTTTTCCCTTCTCTGATTTTTATTGTGAAATTGTTGATCGAAGTACACATATCCTCATGGTGACTCTGATAGAACCTCCATTTCACAACAATTCCCCATCTAGATGATGTCTCAAGTCCCTTTTAGCTTCCTCTCCATGTTTCTAACTGCAATTTGGGTGTTGCAGCTGGTCTTGATGCAAGCAATTACCCAGGACAGACAGCAGAGGGCAAAATGGAGTAGAGAATGGCCTCCTAGTGCCCAGGGTACCTTAGGGGTCAGGGAGGAACTAGGCTCTGTGACTAGGGGGTAAGGAGGAGGAGAAGCTCCTCTTAGCAAGAGAGCCGACTTTGACTCTTACCATTCTTGACTTGAATTGCTGAGCCTTGGCCCTGCAGATGCACCACGGCTGGCTGGGAAAGATGAGAAGGATAGAGAGAGGAGTCACTGTGAGAAATGACTGCTCACTCAGCCACCAGTTTCCATGTTTCCACCTCTGACTGCTACTCTCCTTTCTGATTCCAATTCTGATCCTTCTTCCCTGTCTTGGGATGCTAGTGATCGCAGTGTGACTAGAGGGTAATCTGATTTTGTAGTTCGGCCACTTCTTAGCTATGTGACCTCAGCCAAATGTAATGCCTCTGAGTCTCATTTACCTAACTGTAAAATGGGGATTAGCAGAATCTCTGGCCTCTCTCACAGGATGTTTGAAGATCAAATGAGGTGATGGATACAAAATTGCCTTGGAAGCCATCAAGCTCTGTGCAACTGTGTAGGTTTAATTGTGGCCAAACAGCTGTATCTAGGAAGGCTGAGATGAGACAAGGCCAGGGAGCAGAACCTGCCAATAGAGGCAGATTAGGAAGCTCAAAGACTAGGGAGGAGCCCTTCAGGCCATTAAGTCAGAAGCCCAGGCTGGGCTTGGCCTGGAGCTGCTTGGCTGATTTTCAAGAACATACTCTTAAACTTCTAAGCTCCCGATCCCAGGCAGTCTGAGTGCCAAAAAGGTGTCTGGGGTGGCTGGGGGAGTTGGAGGCCCAGGTGAATAGGGCCTGTCTGGTGGCTCACTGACTACAGTGTGTGGATATGGTGACCCTCTGTCTCCTATGGAATGGAGAAAATGGCCGTGGGAAGACTCAGTTCCCTTAGCTAAAGGCAGGCCCTAGGGCAAAGTTTTTGTGTTCATAGAGATGGCAGGGGCTGTGAGGGAAAAACCTCAGAACCTCCAGGGTATCCTCACAAAATAAGGCCTGAGAAAATTTAATAGGGGGAAACTCAAAGGTGGCTCTAGCCTGTGGCCTCCCCTCCTCCCCAGGAAGTGAGCAGTTCCCAGCCAACCTGGTTATCTCGAGTTCCAGCTTTATCAGCAGCACCTGTGAAATAGGATAGGACAATCAGAGGGCATGTTCTTTCTACTTCCCCTTCTCCTCACCTAGGCAGCCAGTGGCAGGGAACTGTGCTTCCTGCAGCCAAGCCTTGTGATGGGAGAGGACACCACTTCCATCTGTTACTTGTCCCTGACCTGCATCTTCAGTGGGCCCGACAAGTCCCACTGAGACAGATGAGAGTGCATTCCTGTCACTGTGTGACAAAGCTGTTAGTTTCTTTAGCCTTTTGCTTCCTTTCTGTTAATATTTCTCATAGAGTGCGTTGCCATTTGTAAGTATGCTGCTTCTTTAATTGTCTCTCTCCTCCTCTAGGACATAAACTACATGAGAACAGGGGCCACTTATCAATACATCTCTTATACATAGAAAATCCTGGATTAATATTCATGGAAAGATTGAATGAAAAAAAAAATCTACAACTCCATCTCTTCTGGCCACAATAAACACTGATTAGCCCTGTTTGAACTATGAATCCTGCTGCAGAATTCATGGACCTAGAGAAGTCAGCTGTAAAGAGTCTATTTCTTTAAAGCCCCAGGATACAGAAGGGGAGCAGGAGAGAGAAATAACAACTGGCCCAAGCTCAGGCAATTTGACTCCTATCAAGACATCTATACCTAAGCATGTACACCTCTTGGATGCCCTTCTGGGCCCAAAGGGAAAGATGCAAAGGGATTAAATGCTATTTGAATGGGCAATGCGGTTGGGTAAGGACCTAGTGCAAGGAGCTCTTGGTTCCTCAATAGGACAGTCTTGGTGCCTGGGTTTGCTTCTCCCGCAGCCTGAGTGACTCATAAGTTTTCAATGCCTTGATTATCAGCAACTACTTGTTTACCTCTATGAGAAGGGCACTTTAGAGTTCGTGGGACTAGACTGTTCTAGGGCTGGTATCTTGCCTAGTCCTCAACATTCCTCCCCATATCAACATCAGCACAGGAGTTAGATGCTGGGATCAGAGTAGAGCCAATCCATCTCCTAGAGGAAGGTCAGCAAACCCTCAGGGTCTGTCTCAGGCTTATATGAGTTTACTGGCCCACTACAGGGAGGCCTAGACTAAGGGAAGGCTTGTAATGGAATAGTTGAGACAGGCCAAGAACAGGTGACTCCTCCTTGACAGGTTGGTATAGACGAGAAGTTAGAGCAGGTCAGATCCTACTGGCTTGTTTAATCTCTAGGTTTACACTGAGCTAGGAGACATGCATTTCTAATTTCACACCCTCGCCACCAGCAGCATTTGAAACTACTCTCAGGATCACCCACCCCTGTTCTATTAAAGTACTGGTAAAGGAGCCTGGGGGAGGGTGGAAGAACAGGAATTCACCAGAAGGTCCCTGGAGGCCAGGGGGTCCTTGAGGACCAGGAGGACCTGGAGGGCCAGGTGGTCCCATAACAGTTGTTCCTGGAATTCCAGGAATCCCTGGAATCCCTGGGGGTCCCTGGGGTCCTGGAGGTCCTGGAGGTCCTGGGGGGCCATTTGGCCCAGGAGGTCCCGCCTTCTTTCCTGAAAGACAAGATTTGGTGTTATATTTGTAGTTATTGAGTGAGGATGTATTATCTGGAGTTCTATGGACTTCCAATGACAAATAGTACTCTGGGAATTCCTGCTATTAAAGAGGGGAACACCTTTAATTACACACACCTTTCTCTCTCTCTCTCTCTCTCTCTCTGCCCTTTCATGAATAATCATTTACAGAGTTGGGTTTGAAGATGATAAAAATAAATGGCCCTCAAGGAGCTCAGTCTAGTGAGGAAACAGACACAGTCACAGAAAAGTACAAGTGCCATATTCTTGGTGGGGACAAAATGCTTAAGAGGTCAGGGAAGACTTCAAAAAGGATGTTACATTTCAGCTGTGTCCAAAGGATCTGAATTACCAAGTGGCCAGACCTATGGGTCACTTTTCAGAATACTGAGAATTAGGCTATTGTCAAAGGGAGTGGCTTTCATGTTTACTTCCCAGTTTGGTGGACTTGATGCAAATGGAAGGGGAAGTTAGGAGGACACCCTGCCCTTAGAGTAACATCAGCTCCAGGAAGGTTTCCTATAGGAATCAGGGTGTACAGGAACTGGGTGCATGGAGGAAGTGATTGCTGGGAATGAGGAATGGGAAGGAGTTTAGGAGATGAGAGGTGGAGGAGGTGGAGAGAGGAGAGGGGAGGGGAGGGGAGGGGAGGAGAACTGAGGAGGCAGCAGACTTTGCTTTTTCAGCTGACCTCTCTAAACACTATTTTTAAAGGTCTCTGGGGAAGGAAATTCTGTACATTCCCTTGGTAACATGTTCCAATGTTTATCACCCCTTCCTGTTAGGAAGTTTTTCCTGTATATTTAACTGAAACCCCTTCTGTGGCAGTTTAAGGTCTTATTCTAGTCTTTGTATAGATAGAGAAGAATATTTACCATCATACATATAAATAATCCTCATATTCTCAAAGACACTGTCACCTTTCAAACTCCATTTTTATAGGCTAAATAATCTCACTTCCCAGTCTTTCCTCAGATGCCCTACTCTCGAATATATTATTAATCAAGCCTGCCAACTCCTTCCCTTTTGGTCCTCACTATCCTTTCAGAACAGTCTCAATCCTCCTATTCCATGTTCCAGTCCCCCCAACAGTCCCACCAACATGTAGTTATGCTCACTGAGTGCTAACTGTGGCCTTGAAGCCAAACCTGCAGCTCCTCCTGTTTGGTTCCTCTGCCCAGTGCAGCCCAATTCAAGCACTGTAGGTAGTCACAGGGGAGTGTCCCCTTCAGTACTTTCTCAGTTTGGTGGAAGTCTCAGGAATGGAAGCCTTTTAACAGACTCCACCACAGTGTCTTCACCTGTGGTACCTTTTTATTTTTATTTTTTTAAAAATATATCTTTATTGGTTTCAGAGAGAGGAAAGGAGAGGGAGAGAGAGGGATAGAAACATCAATGATGAGAGAGTCATTGATCAAGCCCACAACTGGAGCATGTACCTTGAATGGGAGTCGAACCCAGATCGCCTGGATCCCAGGTCGACGCTCAACCACCGAGCCACAGCCTGCCAGGCACCTTTTTAGTTTAAAATATAACCCTCTCGAGACTCACTTAAGTACCTCCTTACTGTTCCCCAATTCCCTGCTCTGCAGACTCTTAGGCAGAAGAATCCTGTCTTGATTTATCATGTCCTCCTTTAAGAATAAAGCTGCATGTTCAAGAAACCCAGTCCCCATGGCAACATGCTCAAAAGGCCAGTTGTCCAAGTCTACACACATCTGCATTTGGAATGAATCAATAGGGTCATTGTGAGGCCCTTTGCCCAGTGAGGAAAGGAAGGAAGGTCCAGAGAGCCTCTCTCCCAGGAGAGCCCTTGTAGCTGTAAAGACCTAGAGGCAGGAGCTTTAGCATTTTCATTACACTTAGCAGCAAAATATTAGATCTTCCCAGTTTCTAAATCTAGCCAATTTCAAGATGCTGAACAGGAAAACCATCTCCCGTCAGATTTGGGCACTTTCCAAGTAAGACTCATTCAACACCCAAGTTTCAATTCCAGCTAGTGTAGTGGAAAGAACACGGAATCTGTAGTCAGGAGATAAGGCCGTAAACCCCCAATCTGCCATGGACACATTTTGGGCAAATCCCTTCCTCTCGCAGAGCCTTAGTGTCTCCATTGGTGATTTCTCTAAGTTTCCTCCCAAGACTGAGATTCCTTAAGGAGCACTGACCTCCCCCTGGCAGTCAGGAAACTTCCCTGGCCTGGCTGTAAGGTTTGCTTCTCCATCACTGTTTTCTGGGCCATGTGGACACAGAGGACGGTGCATATTAGGCTGTGCTATGTTCCAGAATTTCCAGGCCTAACAGTGGTTTTTCAAGCTAGAGGGTGTTCTGTGGGTAGTACAAACTTCAGTGTCAAGACTGAGCCTCCTGTGATTGCTAATGTAATTTTGGAAGAATTACAGCCAGAAACTCCTCCAGTCAAAGAGAATAATGGTTGCAGTGTAAACAGAGAATGTTCACTTATGAAATTGTTAGAAGGCGTTTGAGAAAAAGATCTTGCTGTGATCTAGTTCTACAGCTGATCCTCTTTGCTCCTCAGCAACCAGGTTTAGGCAAGTGTGCTTCTCGTGCTTGCATACTTACAGAAAGTTGGCCCAGAAAGGAGCATGACCCCTGGACCAAGAAGACGACTTTAGAGGATTGAATTCATTCTCTGGATTTCCTTACTTTAACAGAGCACTTCATGATACAAAAGACCAGAGACTTTTGTATTTAGAAAGTTACCCTTTATAGTCTTAGATGAAAGTATACATTTTTTTCAAAGCTAACCTTCATGAAAGGGTATTTTGCCAACCTTTTAGCAAAGTCCAAATTGTTGAAAGAACAACTAAAGGAAAGTGAGTGAAAGTGTGTGTGTGTATGTGTGAGTGAGAGGGTCGGGGTAGTGTGGGAGGGGAGAAATTCCATTAAAGAATGGAAATTAAATAAACAACTCAATTTACCTCTTCAGGCATGTGCTTATTTACTGTGTCCACGGAAATCTGTATTAAATGGCATCTAAATCACTTTCAGCCAAAGTAAATGTTTAAGTCCTCTGTGCATCTCCTCCCCGTAATGGCCCATACACAAAGTAGCAGTGTGGGGCAGTGATCCGAGTCCTTGGCAGAGGCATTGAAATCTGAGTGCAATTCCAGAGCTTCTGGCCTAGACAGTTGTCTTCTATTGCCCCTTGCAGGGCTCACCCATTGTATAACACTGCAACTGGGTGCTGCTTTCCACCATATACATGCCCTACCCTCTGGGAAATCACTAGTCTACTTGCTGCTCTCCAAACACGCCATGCTCTTTCATGCTTCTGAGAGATCTGAGTAGGCTATTCCCGTTGCTGGAATGTCCTTCCCCCTCTTTTTTTCCTCATCCTTCAAATCCAGGTCAAATATTGTTTTCTCTGAGATGTGGTCCCTCCACTCCCTGAAGGAGAACTACTTGCCCCTACTTTGTGCTCCCACAGCATGGTGTTCAGGCTTCGGTGATAGCATTTTTTAGACTGGACTGTAATTATTTTTGTGTACTTCCATGATTCCAATTGCACTGGGAGATTTTTGAGGGAAGGAACCATTTTCTTCATCTCTGTAGTCTACTCCTGGCAAACATAAGAAGCTTATTCCCTGTCTAGTGAACAAGCAAGTAAAAAAAAAACAAAACAACAAAACAAAACAAAAAAACCACTACTAGCTATAATTAGAAAGTGCTTTCATGTCTATTTATTAAAAAGGCAAGTCATCCCTGAGCTTGTGTTAGGAGCAGAGGGTGCCCTTGTTCAAGCCAAGTGAGCATTCTGAGTTTGTTATAGTGTCTGTATTAAAGGAATGTGACAAGAGCTAAAAACTACATGTTTGAAAGTCAAATTTGCTTTCTTAAAAGACAGACTATTTGGGGAATACCCAGGCTCCAGGGAGAAAGATTTCCTCACTGGCTCTAGCTCTCTGGCTGTTTTCCAGCTTTGCTCAGCTCAGGTCCCCAGGAGGCCAGACCATTCCTCGGCTTCTTTACACCAGGGATACAGGTTTTCCATGTGGGCCATGGCATCTCAAGCCACCAGAACACTCTCGCACTCAGAGAAATGGTAGGTGGCAGCTGAAGCCAGTCTTTTTGGCCTAGTCTGGGGATGATAATCTATGCTATAAAGCTCCAGAAATCTTGACAGAATCATTTCACTTAAAACGTTTTAGTGAAAAGTCATTAATTTCACTCTATTTTCCTCTTATGTCAGAACACAGAAACAAATAGGTACTTAGAATTGGTTTCGCAGCAGGTTCTTTTAGTCCTAAAGAGTGAACCATATTGCCTGGTCCTGTACAGTATTTTGGAACCTGTTCTCTCTTTGGGTTCTCCTCAAGTAAGCAAGCTCTTGGGCCAGTCTGTGGCAAGCACACCAGAGACTTACTGAACCAACAATGGCACAATGGATCTGCTCAACTAGAGCTTCTCTGAAAAGGCTAAAATATCAGGGTATTACTCCAGCCTAGTTTTTCCATTACAGACAAAATGATATTGAAACCCCAAAGCAAGAAATACCTTCCCTGCCTATCTGAGAAATACAACAGGGATAACTTTTAGGCCAATAAATAGGGTACTGACATCTCTCAGGTGGTAGTATATATATACCTAGACCCTACGAGCTGTCTCAGGGTTTCATTCATACCTGTTCACTGACTTGATAAAGGAAGGGAAAAAAGAGAAAGAAGAAGGGCAGGGGAAAGAGCAAGTTAGAATAAAGGAAAGAGACAGAAACTGAATTGTATGGAAGAAGCAAGAAAAAAAAATCAACATTCACATGTTACCAGAGAAGCAATTCTATATTTCGTGGATCATTACTGAAAAACAATCTCTATTTTTTGTTCCTTGGAAGCTGCAATACTCAAGAAGATTCCATGTGATTGAATAAAATAATGGACAACCAGACTATAATATAAAAATCCCACTCCTGGATTCTTTTTCTTCTAATTTTAGAAAAGACATGACATAGCAATTTTATCAAATCAGAAACTTAACTTACCCTTTTTCTTGTTTTTAACTGGACCTGTTACAAAAAGACAATGGAAAATTAAATCACTGGAAATTAACAGAAAATGTTTATTCTCCAAGATGGTCACAGGAGGGACCCCAAGACACTGCAAATTTTAGGGAGCCCCACACCAAGGTTCGGTAATTGACAAGGTATCTCCCAACTATAAAATTTCCCCAGTCTGTTTCTGACTGCTTTCTGACTGTTGTAACAAGAAAATTACAAGAAAGATTCTTTCCTAGGGAGAAAAAAACCTTTCAGGCTGCCTTTGGAGTGAGGGAATGGCTGCTTCTCCATAGAGCTGAAATGCCCAGAAACAGAGCTCCACAATCTTAGGATGGCATTCTAATAACTCTGCAAGTCCTGAGACTGAAGAGTCATGCATTCAGGTGAGGAACTGATATAAAGACTCATGCATTGAATCTGGAAGGAAAAAAGGGCCATTTTCATGGAAGGAACAGAGCAGTGGCAGATTACTTTTTAGTTACTTCCTTACAGTGATTTAAATTGTTAGTAATTAATACAGTGCAACTGTAGTATATTCATGTGGGGTCCACATGTACTCTCACTGTAATTTACCATAAGTTAATAGACACTTTAAGAGAAGTGTCAACAGTTTTATTGACAACGGAATCACAAGCATTTTCGTGGGAATTACTTCCAAAGAAAAGAATTCTAATCAATTGAGGGTACTCAGAAAACCCAAGGCTTTCTCATATTGTTAGGTGACAACCACTACCCAGACATACACAGTGTAGGTGTCTCCCAGACATGTTTTCCCTCTTGGGGACTCAGTTCTCTTCATTTTGTATTTGATGTTCTTTTCTTTCTTTTTAAAATTAAAAAAATTTTTTTTAGATACGGGTATTTAAAATCTGTTCCAAACTGCCACAAGGACACTATTGGACAACATTAAACCATGGAACTTACAAAAAGAACACCAAGTGTTTGTATATTGTTTTATAGTTTATAAAACATATTTCCATCTATCATCTCATTTTATCTTTGCAACAAGCCTGGAGTGATCCTTACCTCTAAGAACAGGCTCTATCAGAGGTTGTATCTAAACAGACTGGATCAGAAGTCTGTAAAGTCTTAACCTGGAGGGCCGCCAAGTGTGGTCATCAGAGCTTGCACAGATCCCTTGGAAACCATTGTCTGTATAGACTTCCCTGGCAAAGTAATTTCATGTGCAAGGTGTGTTTTAGGTTGAGTTTAGTAACCTGCTATGCTTAAGGTCATAAATCTCCATTCTTTTATCTTCACTTTTCTCCTTTTCTCATTTCCCAGTCCTTTGTATTCTTTCTCTGCTGCCTTTCCTCTACGTTTTTAACAGCATTGAGAATTCTTTTTTTTAAAAAAAATTATTGTTGAAAATATTACAGATGTCCCCTTTTTCTCCCATTATCCCCTTCCACACTGTCGCAGGCCTTCACCACACTATTGTCTGTGTCCATGGGTTGTGCATATATGCATATAAATTCTTTGGTTAATCTCTCCCCATTCACCCACCCACCCCCACCTTCCCTCTGAGATTCAAGAATTCTTGAGAATGTATGTGGAAGTTCTGGAGAGGAAGCACAGCTACATAGATACTACTGACCAAGAGGCAGCAACCAAAACTGAGAAAGGCCACCTCCTTGAACAAGAAAGCTATTTGGGAAGGATTTACACAGAAAGGCCCAGCCTCATCAGCCAGCTACCAGCCAGCTAGTCAGCCACCTCATTCCTGAGAAAGCACTGGGATGACAGCCATTGCAGCCACATTGCCCTCAGAGACAAGTTGTGTCAAGTTGCTGGCCATTTCAGCTGGTCAAAGGGTTAGTTAGCACTGTTACACCAGATTTCAAAGCAGGCTTTGAGGAAATCAGACCATCACCAAGAACCCAGTCCTTAACCAGGCATGCCCATGGAAGGTAGCCCAGTAAATATGAAACACAACTCAATCCTCAAAAAACTTACAGTTGGATAGGAATATACTAAAGAGAAGACTTAAGGATAATAGAAAAAAAATACTTCCTGGAGGGAGTTTGACCAAAATCTACAAGTGAAAAGAGGGAAAAGGAAGTTAAAAATATTTTAACATCTACTATTTTTATGCCAGAAATAGCTACTCATTACACACACATGAATGCATACATATAGATACATAAAAAGGGGAGCAAGAAGGGAAAATAGTTTATTAGACTATCCACAAAAACTCACTATTAATATTTTTATGCACATCTTGAAACTTTCTATGCATATAAATATGTATTTTTACACAATGGGATCAAATAAAATGATATTGATAACTTTTTTTCTGTCAATAACTATATTTCTACCTTATTATTTTTAATATGGATACATCACCATTATATAGGTAACTCTATATATTTCTAGTTCTTTTATGGTTTCATTTTTTATACTTAAATCTTTAATTAATGTGGTATAAATTTTGGTTTACAGTATAAGGTAAGGTGTTAACTAAAATTTCTATTGTTATTTTACAAAATGACCATGACATGAAGGGTGCTAAGATCAATGAGGGCTCAAAGCCAGTCCTTTCTTCCACTTCATCTTGTGTCACTGAAGTGTTCTCAGACAGCTTCTACTCAGCAGACATTTGGCATTTCCCTTGGGAAAAACAAGGATTAAAGAATATGGACAAGACCATCATTAGACTGCATGTCATTTCCTACAAGTGCTAGTGAGCACATCAGCTTGGCAGCACAGGAGTTCCTTTTTGTTCTAATACAGCTCATCATGGCCAGTAAATAATTCTTATGAGTTTCAACATGAATCTCTAATCCCTGGTTCTACAACTGCCATACCCATTTCTTTTGCTTGAGGCCATTGTTTTCTAGTTTCTAAAGAGAAAGCACCAGGGAGCTAGGACTATACAACACTAGATATGAGCATCTTGAACCAGAGCAGAAGTAGTAGCCTCTGCTGAATTCTATAACCTTTTAGATATATTCACTTATTTTCTCCATATGATTTAGACCTTTCTCATACCTACTCCGAGTACTACCACTGTCACATGTCTGTTTCTATGGTAACAGGCTACCTTTCTCTATGATTCCAATTCCCTCTGTTTATAATCATAATGCTTTGTATAAGCAAAACCCACAAATGCATCACGGTGGGAAAGACAGCTGTGCAGTCCCTGAGACTGCTTTGATAGAAGTAAAATTGAGTTCTGACAGGTTTTGATCAATGTGGTCAGGCAGTTTGCTACCTGACATTAAGAAAAGGGGGTCTACCAAATAGCCACAGCAATCTTGAAAAAGAAGAACAAAGTTGGAGGGATGACAATACCAGATATCAAACTATACTACAAAGCCAATGTAATCAAAACAGCCTGGTACTGGCGCAAGAACAGACATAGATCAGGGGAACAGAACAGAGAACCCAGAAATCGACCCAAGCCATTATGCTCAATTAATATCTGATAAAGGAGGCAAGAGCATACATGGGAGTAAAGACAGTCTCTTCAATAAATGATGGTGGGAAAATTGAACCGGTAAATGCAAAAACCTGAAACTAGACTACCAACTTATACTATACACAAGATTAAACTCAAAATGGATAAAAGACTTAAATGTAAGTCATGAAATGATCAAAACCCTAGAAGAAAATGTAGGCAGCAAAATATGAGAAATCTCATGGAGCAGAATTTTCACTGATACATCACCCAGGGCAAGAGGAACAAAGGAAAATATAAACAAATGGGACTATATCAAAATAAAAAAACTTCTGCACAGCCCAGCCGGTGTGGCTCAGCAGTTGAGTGTTGAGCTATGATCCAGGAGATTGAGGTTCAATTCCCAGTCATGGCACATGCCTAGGTTGTGGGCTCGATCCCCAGCAGGGGGTGTGCAGGAGGTGGCTGATCAATGATTCTCATCATTGATATTTTTGTCTCTCTCTCCCTTCCTGTCTCTAAAATAGATAAAAACATATTTTTTAAAATAAAATCTTCTGCACAGAGAAAGGAACCCTCATCAAAATGAGAAGGGAAACCACTGTATGGGAGAATATATATATCAATGATACATCAGATAAGGGGTTAATTTCCAAAATATATAAAGAACTCATACAACTCACAGAATTCAATTAAAAAATGGGCAGAGCACCTGAATAGACACTTCTCCAAAGAGGACATACAAATGGCCAAGAGACATATAAAAAATGCTCAACATCACTAATCATCAGAGAGATGCAAATAAAATGACAATGAGGTACCACCTCACACCTACCAGATATCATCAATAAATCAACAAACAACAAGTGCTGGTGAGGATGTGCAGAAAAAGGAACCCTAGTACACTGTTGGTGGGAATGCAGATTGGTACAAGCACTATGGAAAATACTGTGGAGTTTCCTCAAAGAAAAATGGAACTGCCATTTGACCCAGTGATACTACTTCTAAGAATATATCCTAAGCCAGAAACACCAATCAGAAAGAGTATATGCAACTCTTTGTTCATAGCAGTACAGTTTACAATAGCTAAGATCTGGAAACTGCCCAAGTGCCCATCGTAGATGAACAGGTTAAAAAACGATGGTACATTTATACAATGGAATACAATGCAGCTGTAAAAAAGAATCTCAGAGGAGGGAAGATAGCGGCACTCTGACAAGAAGCAGAGCGCCCTTGCTCCCAGCCATGGATTGGATTTACCACTAAAATACTGCATAACCAGCTTGGAAAAAACAAGGGAAATATACCTGGGTGGATATGTTTTGCATAAGGAGCACTGAAGAAACATCATGGAGTCTGGTAAGAGAGGGGGGCATAAAAAGAGAAAGCCCCCCTGAGCCAGTGCTGGGCTGTGAATCCCAAGGGTTAGAGGTTGCAAAGCTCCCTCCCCTTGGGAGTGTGGACTGGCATCCAAAAGCTGGGATCTCAAACCTGGAGCGTAGGAGAAGGGAAGGAGAGCGGGCAGAGGGAGCCAGGGGAACAGTGTGCCTGTGAGGAGGTGACTGCACCTTCCCAGTGAAACAACATGTCTAATGGCAGCAGCCAGGAC